AGCTTGATCAGACCGCGGCAACAAAAGGAACCAAGAACACAAGTAAAAACTTTGACACGGTCAGGAATGCCACGGTCACACCAAGGATGCACCAGACCGTGGCAAACCCTTCTTTGCCCATCAAGGCCGGGTCAGTACCCGGTTTGTTCCGGGTTGACCCGGTTTGCCCAAGCCTCCTTTATAAGGTTTTTAGACCTAATTTTTGAGGGGAACTGAATCTACTTTTAGTCTTTTTTCCCCTTTTTGTGAAAAACCACTTAATACACTTTGTTTTAGAGAGTTTAAATCAATTTGCAGTTTCTTTCCATCTTGTTCATCATTTCTATTCATCAAAATCAACTTCTAATCATGATTAACAACACATCTTGCAAAGGATCTAGTGTGTTGATCATGATTAGTGAGTAGTTACCTTAATGAGGTTCTAGATGTGTAGGTTAGGGAGCTAAAGTGTTAGATTAGGAGTGCTTAGGGCTAGATTCATTGGTTCATTTCTCTAAACAACTGTTCTCTATGCTAGATCCTTGATAATCACTTGAAATCTAGATTCTGGGAATTTCATGCACCAAAAGTGTTTGATGAAATTCCTGAAAGAGTTGTGTTAGAGGTTTAAGTAATTTTTCATTATAGGAATGATTTGTTAAATGCTTGAATGATCATTGAGAACTGTTTATTAATGCATATTGATTCATATTTCACAAATGGGAATTTGGTTTGAAAATGGATTAGTATAGGGGTTAATACCTTCATGAGAGGATTAACCTAGATTAGAGTTCTTAATCACTTGAATCATGTCTCATCATTGTCATTAGCATTTCTAGTTTAACACTAAAGCACCCTAACCAACTATCATGTCTAGAATCTCATGCCTCCATCATATCATATTCACATCATATCATTTGTCATTGTCATTAGTCTTTAATCCTGTTTATGTTTATATTTGTCTCTAGATTAATCAAAACCCAATCTTGTTTGCTTGAATTAAGAACTTGATCATATAGCTTAGTGTCTAACACCACATCTGGATTGATAAACCTCTTTGTGCTACATTGACAAGGGGATTGATAGCCCTGAGACCCTAAAAAGTCTTATCTATCAGTGAGTGAGGGCAGCATGGCCGATGTTGTTTGCTGCTTGTTCGGACCTAACATCAGGCATGGATACATCGGCCATAGCTTGGCCGATGTTGCTTGTTCTTGGCATGAGGAAAGGATCAACATCGGTCAGAGTTTGGGTGATACTTATGGCCCATTGTTCAATGCTTCCTGCTCAGCTCCAACATCGCCCATAGGCACATCGGCCTTAGCTTGGCCGATGTTCTTGCACAGTTAGCCGAGACACTGTCCATAATCCATTCTTCAAGTCTCTCCAAGCTCCATTTTTTCCGAATGCTCCAAGCTGCTTCAAAGTACTTAGATAGACTCCAAAACATGCAAAAACACACTAGAACCTGATGTAAAACCTATCTAAACACAATTAAAACAAAAACACTAAGAAACCTATGAAAATGTATGCATGAGACACAAAACAATAAGTAAAATGCATGCTAAAACAAGTGAATTTATGACAATATCAAAAAGCTATCGCCATATCGTAAAATCTACTACAAATGATGTTTTATATAAAAAAGGAAAATAAAAATAATGGATGTTGGACATAAATTCAGGCCAAGTTCAGTAACTATTCTAGGAAATCTAGAGCAATTAAGAAAGAATAAAGGAAGAAGTCTAGAGAGGGGAGAAAAAATAGAGATTTCAGGAAACACTTAGAATCTAAGTCTTTCTTAACTGTTCGCAGTGAATATTTTCCAAAGGAATATGGAAGACATTATTCGCAAAGGAATTCGGAAAAAATTCAACATTTTCTATATACAAAGGAGGAGAGGCTAACAAAGAGAAGGACCGAAAAACTAGAGAATTTCTAAGAGATAGTGTAAATAACATCCTTAGAACGAACATTGACATAGTTCTTGGTTTTTCCACAATTACGAATTATGTCTGTTTCTTGGATCTTTGTTTTTTTGCATTGTTATTCGTTTAAATATAAAAGATTTTTGATTCTGTTATTTCCGTAGACTTTGCAAACGAAAATTTATCCCAAACAATAGAAATGTGATAATCATCTATAAAACCATAAAATTGTAATTAAGAGTACCAAAAAAATAAATCTTGGACAAATAGTACAAAAAGTTGTGTTACAATCACCAAAGTAGAAGAAGATATGATAAGGGGGTATACCTTTTTCCTAGCTCGTTCACCTCAAGCACAAACAACATAAAAACAAGATAAATTAGCACGACGTGCTCGTATAATGATGATATTGTACCCGGTAAGTATTAGGGTTTTTTACCTTCTGATTTTGTGTTTATTTTTTTAATAATAATTTATTAATCATATTTACATAATTCAAATTTCAAATATCAAAACTGATAAAATATAATGGCATAGCTGTTATTATTAGGAACTACATAGGGTATTCAGTCCTTTGATTAAATATATATGCTATTCTAGTAATTTTTTTTGGGTGTTAATCTAGTAATAACTGGATGAATTAGTACTAATCTGAGTAATTTCTTTGTTCGGTTATATCGATCCTTGTAAACATTGGCAAAATGCCATACAAAACAAGCAAAGTGATAAAATGCTCTGTTGATGAACAAGCAACTCTGGAAAAGGAGGTAACGGAGGAGGAGGTGAAGAGGGTCCTCTTTCGAATGCCAAAAAATAAAGCCCCAGGGCCAGATGGTTACACATCGGAGTTCTTTAAAGCGGTTTGGTCGGTTGTTGGACGAGATTTCACTATAGCAGTACAATCTTTTTTCATAAAAAGTTTCCTTCCAAAAGGGGTAAATGCAACCATTCTTGCTCTTATCCCGAAAAACGAGGAGGCCAAAGAGATGAAAGACTACCGACCTATATCATGCTGTAATGTGATCTACAAAGTGATATCAAAAATCCTCGCAAATCGGTTAAAGGAAACGCTCCATCTCACACCTTTGCTTCGCCGATGATTTAATGGTGTTTGCAGATGGAAAGCTTCGATCTATGGAAGGAATTATCGATGTCTTCAAGGATTTTGCAACATATTCTGGACTCAAGATCAGCCTTGAAAAATCCACAGTTTACATGGCGGGAGTATCGGCTCAGACGCGAGAAGCGATTGAGGCTCGGTTCCCATTCAACTCAGGCGTTTTACCTGTCCGATACCTTGGCTTACCGCTGACAACTAAGAGAATGTCCGCTGCAGACTATCTCCCCCTGCTTGACAAGATCCACAGACGCATTAGCTCTTGGCGAGCTCGATTCCTCTCTTACGCAGGTCGCCTGCAGTTGATAAACTCAGTAATCGGGAGTCTTACAAACTTTTGGTTGGCAGGCTTCTGTTTACCTGGAGAGTGCCTCAAGGAGATTGATCGGCTTTGCTCAGCTTTCTTGTGGAGTGGGCCGGAACTTAATACCAGAAAAGCCAAAATCTCGTGGTCAGTAGTCTGCTCTACGAAGGAGGAGGGAGGCTTAGGACTAAGACTACTAAAAGAAGTAAACAAGACGAGTTGCTTGAAGCTCATCTGGAGAATCACAAACCCGCAACAATCTTTATGGGCTCAATGGTTAAGGGTGAACATAATGAAAAACAAGTGTTTCTGGTCTATACCTACTGACTCTAGTGCTGGCTCTTGGATGTGCCAAAAACTATTGAAATGCAGAGACATGGCTCGGGATCTCAATTGCATCGACATTGGTAGTGGAGTTTCAACCTCCTTCTGGTTTGATAATTGGTCATCTCTGGGGCGGTTGATCGATAAAGTTGGTTGCCGGGGCTTCATTGATCTGGGAATCCCTGCGCAAGCTTCTGTTGACTGGACACTCACAATGCACCGGCGCAGGAGACATCGTGTTGCAAATCTGAACGAAGTTGAAGAACTCATTGCTGCAAATCGTCGGGATAGAAAAACAGGGGAGGACAGAATTCTGTGGAGGGGGAAGAATGGAAAGTTCAGGGAGAAATTCTCGTCAAGCGAAACATGGCATCAGATACGGTTAGAGCGCATGAAGGTGGACTGGTCTCAAGGTGTCTGGTTCAAGTTTGCCACACCTAAATACTCGTTCATCGCCTGGCTCGCTCACCACAACCGTCTTTCGACAGGAGATCATATGCTCCATTGGAGTAATTACTTGCCAGCTGCTACGTCGTGCATTTTCTGTCACCACCCCATTGAAACCAGAGAGCATCTCTTTTTCTCTTGTCGGTTCTCCTCTGTAATATGGTACCGGCTCGTACATGGTATTCTGGGATCCCGATATAGCACGGAATGGGCAGTTTTTACTCCTCTGCTTGTATCGGAAACTTGGACGGATGCGACATCGCTCTTCCTATTTCGGTACACCTTTCAAATTACTCTGCACAGCATTTGGCGGGAGCGAAACTGCAGGAAACATAGTGATCTGGCGAAGACCCCATTTCAACTAATCCGCATCATCGACAAAAGTATCCGCAACCGAATCTCATCAGTTCGAAGCCAAGGCCCCAGCCGTTTGGAGGATGGCCTGGAGAAGTGGTTCAGCTATCGCTAGCAAAGTCCAAAAAATTTTGGTAGTTTGGTTTTCTTAGTTTTCAAAACACAGCTGCATTTGATGTAAAAAAGTCTTTTTTTTGGATGAATATAATTTTACATTCTTTAAAAAAAAAAAAAAGTGATAAAATGCTAAAACAAATTCTCTAAAGTTTAAAAGAGATGTTATTCAGCTAATTTATTTTTACCAAATTTCATTTATTGTTCTAAGAAGGTCGTAGAAGGCAAGCTGTCAACAAAAGAGAGTTGAACATTGAGACGAAAAATATTAGTTGGTAACTTTTGTACTTTTTAGTTTTCCCATTTTCTTTTTGATATTTTGTTTTGTCTTTTAACTGATTTTAGCTCTGAAGTCTGAATAATGGTGAAAGAAGTGACTTTGGACCACAATGTGTTCTAGGAAACTTGTTTATTAAAATCAGTAATGCACGCATTTGCGTTCTTCTTTCTTCTTAAATAGATTAAGCAAATTCATAACTTTTGATTTGTCGACAGCATCATTATCTTTTTAACAAACTGGAAAAAAACCATATAGTACCAAACAGGAATATACAGAATAAACTATAATTTCAGAAAAAGAAAGAAGCAATGCTAAAGGCTCTGACCAAAAGAGACTGTCATTCTTTGAAGATCCTTGTGGAACACGTCACTAGCTTGACTTTGGCTCCAAGGAAAGTCAGTGTTCGAGTTGAAATCCGTTTCTGATTTCACGTTAATTGTGTTAGAGCTTTCGTTCTGTAGAGTAAAAAACGATGCGTTTAGATACTCGTCTGACCATTTCATATCTTCCAATCCAGGATTTTCGAGGCTGCTCGAGGTATTATTGATCATGCCTCCACAGTTTGATTCCCAATTAGGCTCTGTCGCTTCTACATAATCTTCTTCAGAGACAGTTCTTGAAGTGTTGTCTGAAGGAGGAAAAAGAGTAACGGAGGGCTCGAAAAGCGCCTTTGAGACAGAACAATCAATCTTGAATTGCGAAGGGATCATGGAACAGAGCGAACTGTCAAGGGAAACAGAGTGTTCGAGGCTGGAGTTTAGCTTCTGAAACGCCAAGTAGTCAAAGAAATCAGACGGTTGCTCGACAATGAATTCTTGATTAGTTTCTGAGGATAAACTTGGAGACTTGTGGTCGTTATCAACTTCAGAGAGAGGTTTATGCGTATTAGGGTCGATCCCTTTTACCCTAAGCTTCTTCTTGATGCATGAATTCCACAAGTTCTTGATCTCGTTATCGGTTCTTCCGGGAAGCCTCACTGCAATTTGGGACCATCTGAAACAGAGTAAAACATAAAAATGGGATTCAAGAAATACTCTGTTTCATAAAAAGGAATTTAAAGAAACACTCTGTCTTAAAAACAGAACATCAAGAAAAAACAAGGGATTTCGGAAACATAGCATTATTATGTTTGATTATTACCTGTTTCCGAGGACAGCGTGAAGCTGGACAATGAGATTCTGTTCCTCTGGAGAGAAAGCTCCTCTCTTCAAATCAGGTCTTAAGTAATTGATCCACCTGAGTCTACAACTCTTACCGCATCTATTGAGACCTGTAGATTGAGACAAGTATGGTTCTGTAAATTGATTAAAGGAAAAAATCACAGTTATACCATTTTTCAGGAGAAGAAAAAGTTTGACCAGCGAGTTTAGGAACAGAGCTCCAGCAACCATGGCCGTTTTTGGTGATGTAATTTAGAAGCTTCTCGTCTTCTTCAGGAGACCAGAGACCTTTTCTCAGCTTTTGTTTGTAACAGCAAGGTCTACCCATGTTGCAATGCTGTGCAAGCAAAGGAATAATGAAGAAGACTTGTTTTTTTTTCTGTGATTAACAAAAGAAAGAGATGAATGGATTGAGAAAAGAAAGGAGAAAGGTTTAGAAAATGAAGTAAATGATGTACAGAGACTTAAGAAATAAATAGAGGCTAGAAAAGACTGAGAAGAAGAAACAAAGAAAGAAAGTCACTTTCATAAGATGACTTTTGTTGAATTTTCTGTTTGTCTATGTTCATTTTTAAGAGAAAATAGACAATGTACAATGTACAATGAGACTCGTGTTTTTCTTAGAGCATCTCCGTCCCTAAATTTGAGACGGGGTTCTTAAGTTTTTTTTATTATAAATTTTTGACTAAAAAAAATTTAAGAATTTCTATGTTTTTTTCTCTCTATCCCTGAATCTCATTAGGGGTTTTTAAATTATTTTTTTTTAAATTTATTTAATTTAAGTAATTATTGATTTGATAATAACTATAAACATACAAAATTTAATAAAACCAAATTTATATTGCATTACATAAAATTTTAAACATACATAATACATATATTGAAATCATAAAATGTTTAGTTGTAATCTTTAGGGATTAATCTTTCTGACAGTATCTCTCCTTTGTTGAAAGTAAGGAACTTATTAGGAGACTCGATCAACAATACACATGAACAAAGGCCTGTTAATTCTAAAAAGACGTCGAAATATATGAGAGTATGTAGCATCTTCATTAATATAGTCATTCCATAAGCGGTTGTGGCTTTCTTTACGTTGTCCTTCTATATATGCTCGTTTCTTCTTTTGCTATGTGGATACTCGAGAGACCAAATTTTCGGATATGAACCCCAAAGCACTGAGAATGGAAAATTCACATAAGGAACTCGGAAATTTCAGATGTAAACCCTATGTGGATATTGGATTCATCTCCAATTCGCAATTTAAACTCGAAAATTCACAAAAAACCCTAACTCATTACCTTCAATTAATGCTCCAACGATTTGGTGATCCATCATCGATCGATTTGCTCCTCCATTGGCTATGCTGCTCCATCGATTCCCTCCTCCATCACCGATCGATTTGCTGCTCCATCACCGATCAATTTTTGACTCTCCAAATCGTCGACCATTTTCATCTCTCTCATCGCAAATTATGTTTTCCATCGACAATGTTTTGACCAATTTCAGAGTTGGACTTTTTTGTTTTATGGCCCATTCTCGAGTTTTAGTCCACACACAAAAAAAATATTTCACCGATGAGATCCTGTCATGTTTTTAAAAACTTCCCTTATTTGGGGTTCTTATCTAAAAACTTAAAAACTTGGATTCTTAGCTTTTTAATGCTTTCTTAATTATTTTTATTACCTAATTTCCCTAAAAACCCCATTACATATAGTCTTATTTGTTTATTTCTTACAGCTAAACATGATATTTTATAAGTTTGATGAAAGAGACTTTTGACAGGAATGACGTTTTACAAAACATATTAATTATACCACAAGTGCATGGTTAACACCGATTGTAGCATTAAAATTATGATTTGTTTTTTTTTTTTTGGTTTTTGTAACCTACCAGTCTACTTCTCATCTCATCCAAATCATTGAGAAGATGGAATCAAGTGACCTCGCTTCGCTCTAACAATTAATCTAGACTTCAAAACCTTTACCAGCAACAGTTTCAATTATGGGAACCATTATAGATACCAGCAATACAAATCAAGTTTTACAAAACATTAACACCGATTATAGCATTAAGAGGGTCAGTCTACGAAGAGACGATATATCACACTAAGAATCCAAGAGCATTCAAAGTAGCCTTCAACGAGGGAGTCTCTTTGTCAAAAAAAAAATACCATTATTTGTAAAAAAACCAATTCTTTATAAAAAAAACAATTCTTTGTAAAATAAAAAAACAATTCGAAAACAATTTTCATTAAAAAAAAAATTCTTTGTAAAAAAAAACGAAGGAATCACGTACAATGCTCTGTTCATGCAGGAACCAACAAGAAGTAGCTAATTAAATATTTTAGTTATAAAACGAGAAATACCGACAAGAAATGTCCCATACTGCTACTGGAACATAATAAATAAATGGGCTACTTGATTTTATTGTATGATATCATGTAACGAAGCTGTCGATAAAATACTTCGGATTATACAATTCATCAAATGATTGAACTGCATAGATACCATATAATATATGAATGACTTTCGAAACGCAATTGCATACATGATACATCCAACTAGCCAAACCTTTAGAGAGTTTCTTTTAATTATACAATTAAACTAATTCGAACAACTCGTATCAGAAGATACAACAAATAAAATAAAAAGACATATTCTGCTAACAGAAAATATTAATTCCACCCCGAAAACTGAAACATATTCGATTAGGATCATGCATGATTGAAACCATCTTCAAATTCAATCATCCGCCGCCAACCTTCTACTTAAAGTTAAATTTCAGATTTGAGACATCGATGTTGGTTGGATTAGCATGATGCATGTATGTAAAATTTATTTAATTGTACACTTGATTCCATTAACTTAACCATTAATCGTGCTTTACAGAATCACGAGTAGCTGAATCCTTTTTTTTGTTGTTTTTTGTTTTTTTTGTTTTGCAAACAAGTAGCTGAATCTATGACTAAAATTTCTAACCTAACCTGAAATCAAGTAGGAACGAACCCTCTTAAGCTTGATCTATAATACTTTCTTGTCGATTCCAGAATTTCTTATGAAATCTGCATGTTTTTTTCCTTTATTTCGAGATTGTTATGATTTATGTAGTTTCTGATTTATTATGATTCAAACGAAGAGATTACAACAAGTTCAATTGCAGTTGATTATGAAGAGTCTCCATCGTTGATTTATAGCAATTTCTATGAGACCCCGCTCCATTCTTTCCTTCCGAGTACTAGACAGACCGGTTATCAAATCCATCAAATTCTGAATCCACCTTTCATCTGGATTGGTTACCAATTCTGAATGCTTCCAACCGTTCCTATCAATGAGCCCAATGCCGTATACTCAGGGGTCCAACATCTTTTCTCTCTAGGCACGTTGGCCCACCAACTGTCCCTACCAGTAAGCCCAACACCTTCTCTTTTAAGTCCGCTGACCCACCACTGTCCGACGGTTGGCCTCTTTCTAGGTCCATGAGCCCACCCCTGTCCGACGGTCGAGAGTCGTTGGTCCGAGAGTGATATGATCTTGGATAGCATCGACAAAGAGTTTGAACCAGAAGAAGAGCCACAAGGAGCTAAGGAGATGAGGAGCAAAGACAAGGATTAAGGAAGGGAACAAGAAGACCCTTTGGTCATTTCAAAAGGTCTCATGACCCGAGCAAAGACCAAGAAGCTTAAGGAAGCTGTTGGAGATATACTTAAGCAAGGAGTGCTTATGGAACAAACGGGAAAAGAGATGAATACAACTACACTAGTTGTGATCCAAGTCCGAGAAGGCTAATGGGCTTGTGATTCAGCTATGTACTCTTTTTCCCTATCTCAAGTTTTGTCCCAATAGGTTTTCTTGAGATAGGTTTTTAATGAGGAATAGTCTGGATCACCTGACATCTAAACCCATCAGCCGAGTCCAAGAAGAAAAAGAGGAGCGTGTGAAGGATGTTTGAATTCAAACTTGGCCAGCTTTCAGAGAACTAGTTCCTAGACATTTTAATGCTTTGTAGACTCGCGTGTTCTTCTCTTTATATTCTCTTGTAAACTCTCTTTTGAGACCATCTTATCTTTTTATCAAAATCTTTCTAAGTAAGATCAAACTCTCTTGTTGGTGTGTAATATCCTTCAAGGCCTTTTTGATTCTACTTTGGTGTGTAATATCCTTAGTTAATTCGAAAACCAATTCATCAAGGGTCTTTTTGCAACCCTTGGAGTCTCATCAAGTCCACAAACCTTAAAACCACTCGCTTGTTTGCAAGGCTATCCCTTAGATCCAGTTTAGGGAGGTTCATATTAAGTGGTATCAGAGCAAGCACTCTAGCCGCTGGATCGTCGAAAACATCAGGTTGTATCTTACCCTTGATGTTTATCGATTATTTCTGTGTTTTTAAAAGTTTGATCATCATAATCATTCAATCGAATCTATTACTTGTGTATCACTGCATCAAATCGACTTAGATTCATTAAGCGAGATCGATTATCAGTGAACTAGTTGCTGTTTTACATCAAGTCGGGATAGATCTAAATAACCTTTTAACTTCTAACATCGGATCTGTGTTTTGCAAACCTGACTTTTTGCATTCAAATTATCGAACATGATTGCTTGTGGAACACGAATGGTCATTTTTGTTTTGTGAAACAATCATAGACTTGTTGCTGGCGATTCTGTGTTATCTATGTTTCAGGAACGATGAGTGAGCAACAAGAAGAGTCCAGTGCTAATGGTGTTAACAAGCTATACATGGAGGCGATGCTGGCTGAGGTTAAAAAGCTTGTGTCTGTGAGTCTCGAGGAGTTTCGACAGGAGATTCAAGAGCAGACTAAAACAAAGGCTAGCAAAGATAAAAGAAGGGATCTAGGGAAAGAATCTGAGGAAGTTTTGGAGCTGACTAGACCTCTCAGAGATGATGCGGCCACAGACTATTACAGTCCCCTAAGTAGTTCCTCAAGAGATAGCCGACGAAGGCATAAGTGACACAAGGAATATCGAGCTCAACCTCAAGAAGGTTTTGGAGGAGTTAAACTCATGATCCCTCCTTTTCACGACAAAAACGACCTTGACGCCTACTTAGAGTGGGAGAAGAAGATCGAATTGTTGTTCAACTGCCAACAATTCACCGGTATTAATCGAGTAAAGATATCCACTACCGAGTTTTACGATTATGCTCTTTGCTGGTGGGATCAGGTTGTTACAACTAGAAGAAGAAATCAGCAGTTTCCGATTGATACTTGGGAGGAGATGAAATCTCTCATGAGGAAAAGGTTTGTGCCGAGCCACTACCATAGAGAGTTGCACCAAAGACTTAGGCGGTTCACACAAGGCAACCGATCCGTTGAAGATTACCATCAAGACATGGAGACCTTGATGCTGCGAGCTGATATCAGAGAAGATGCTGAAGCCACCATGTCTCGATTCTTAGGAG